TAAGCACTTGGTCAAATTTATTGCCAATGAGTATTCTCTGGAAATTCTAGAGTTAGGATTAGGGTTTGGGTTAAAGTTACGGTTAGGGTCCCCAGCCCCCAAGTCTGAGTAAAGTTGCTCTAACACTAAATGCGAAAAAAAAAAATCACTAGACAATTCCACAGGCATGGATTTTCACTGCACAGAGCTTAGCGGCAGAGGTATGGGGTCATATAAAGGTCAGATGTTTTCATATGCTCACACAGCTACTGGTGAGAAAGCAGCTTTCTACAGACATGAATGGCAAGCTCAGTACGTAATGTATTCAGTGTAAAAAGCAGCTTGATAATGGTTGAGCCCTTATCTTCCTCTATGTCTCTCATTGTATTCCTATGGGGCTCGGATTATTATTAACTAGCAATAAGCTTCTGAATGAACTACAGTAAAGCTGGTCTTTTATTATTAAATGATGAAACCTGATCAAACTCAAACTCAAAACCATGAGGTAGCCCGGCCAGTTGGCTATGATATCAGTTTGACTATGTTTGTTTACATTAAGCATCTCAGTGTTAGCTAACTGAGATTATTATCTGCCTTACAGTCAAACACACTGAGAGTAACGCACTGAATTTAGTTGATTATAAATGTACAGGGTAGCAGTAGCACATGCTGAACAGGGATGCCAACTTTTCTTGGATGACAGACTCCTCCACGATGCTACCCTGCATGCAGTCATTAGAGCACAGGGGGTTCCATCCAATCATGATGTAGTTACCTTTATTTATTTAGATCATGTCATATATAACCAACTAGGGTCTGACAGGGAATTCCCAGTTGATGGAATTCCAAGTTGATGAGGCGTTTTCTTTGATTTTCCTAGTCCGAGCTGAAAATTTCCAAGTTACAAATTTTAGCCAAAACTGTGGTACTCCTCAGGATTTTTTCCCATAATATGTCACAAATTCCTTTTTTTTTTATTTTTCCCCAATTTGCTCCCAAATTTAGTTGCATCCAATTACACCCATTAGTTAGACTCCCCCAATCACACAATACCACTAGCGCTAGGAGGGTGAAGGCTAGCACAGGCTTCCTCTGAGACCTGTGAAGCCGGCCACTGCATCTTTTCAAACTGCCGCTAACGCTGGACAGCTCTGAGGAAAGTGTCAACTGCCAGTTCCATTGCGTCAGCTAACAGACAACTACACTGACAACTACAAAAAATGAGCCAAGCCCAAAATGGCGAAACATTAAGCTTTTAATGTTCTTAACCACAATTTTATTAAACAAATAGATAAAGGAACTTAGTACAGGATAGCCTTTCCCTTTGATGTCCTCAAATGTTGAAGTCTTGTAAGAAAACTTGCAGACAGCCTTTTATAGGAAAAATAGTCAATAACGTTCCTCTCAGCATTAATAGCCTCAAACAGCTGAAAAACATTGCCAAGCTATGAGACCAAACATTCTCTATAGGGTATAAATCTGGCCAAAACCATCAGTAAATAGCACTACATTTTGGGCTTGGCTCATTTTCTTTTTGCACAGGAGTGGTTAACACTCACAGCTCATATCACCACAATAAATAACTAGGAAGGCTCACTACAGCTGATAACGTGTCTCATAGTCACTGTCAGGTCTTTCTTATTTCGAGCCTGGGGGTTACATTCCTCCTTAACATTGAGAGATTGTTGTCATTGTTTATTGTTTCCAATGAAAAACCATATTGTGTAAGAGAGAAACAGAAGTGCATGAGCTGCCGAATCATGCATCAGTTTCTCTGGTTCAGCAGGCACCGCCTCGCCAGCCTCAACTCTTCACACTTGTTCCTTAGTTTGTTTCCAGGTTCTTACTTGAAGGGGCTGCATTACTTTCTTTTCAAAATTCTGTTGCTAGCAAGAAGCAGCATTGTGAGAACGTTTCCAGAAAGGTGGCATGTGAGGTTTTGGTATGACAGTTATGTTTGTAATAGCTTTAGCAGTTCTGCATGTAAAGTAGTCATACCAATAAAGCTTATTGCATTAGAATTAGAGAGAGATAGTGGGACAGAGAGAGATAGTGGGGCACAAAGAGAGGGTGAGAGAGAGGATTATATACAGAGAGAGAGTGCACAGCGTATATGTGGTGTTAAAATAGAGCTAATAGACCTAATAGAGGTTCAAACATTTTGGCATATGCAGGTCTATACGTTGTATGCACCCCTGGTCAATTTACATACATGAAAATAACACATCCTGTACAGAGAACACACTTAAATATGGAACCTTTCTGCAAATTTTAGTGCACAATTCATTTAAAATATTGAAAAATGCCTCATTTTATAAGTTTTTCCCCCATTCATCCATCATCTAAACCACTTATCCTTCTGGGTCACGGTGGGGTGCTGGAGCCTATCCCAGCTGTCATTGGGCGGAAGGCAGGATACACCCTGGACAGGTCGCCAGTCCATCACAGGGCAGACAGACAGACATACACATTCACACCTAGGGGCAATTTAGCATGTCCAATCGGCCTGACTGCATGCTTTTGGACTGCGGGAGGAAACCCACGCAGACACAGGGAGAACATGCAAACTCCACACAGAAACAACCCTGGTCACCCGGCCGGGAATCGAACCCAGGCCCTTCTTGCTGTGAGGCGACAGCGGTACCCACTGCGCCACCGTGCCGCCCAAATTTTTCCCCAATATGTTAAATTCAACAAACAGTAATTGTGTATTAAAATGTGCAGAAGTGTGTTCTTTGTAGAGGATGTGTTAACTTAGTTTCACATAGAAAACTGCCAAAACATGTAATTTGACTGGTGACACCAAAACTTTTGTTCACACTGATTTAGCATGTTTTGGCAGCTCACTATCTTTCATGGCTTATTGCTCAAGAATATCACAAGACAAAGATAAAACAAGTCATACAAAACCAGGCCAGAGTACACCATGATTCACAGCGCTTATTGGATATTTTCCCAGTTGTTGTTGCCAAAGGTACACCATGAAATCTGTCCAATCAGTTGTGATTTTTTGTCCATATAATGTTTGTTTACATCTTTTGGTTCTATGTCAAATACAGTAGCATTCATTGATCTCATTTCCAGTCAAAATGGCTGTTAAGCACAAGTTATTTATTTTTCAGTGTCAGAAAAAGAAACAAAAACTAAAGAAACAGAAAATTAAACAGAAGCTCAACAACTAAATATGACATCATGTTTTTCATCATTTATTGTGTCCACTCTTTAACTTCATTACAGCTTCCATTCTTTTCAGGAGGCTTGCTTTCAGCTTGTCAGAGAAATCTGCAGGGATATTTTTCCACACTGCCAAAGTTCAGTCTTAGAAGTTGGTTGCATTTTGTGCATTTTATTAAACACATTCATTGATGTTGAGGTCTAGACTCTAGGGTGGTCACTCCTTGGTTCTAAAAACACCAGCAGCCTTTAGGTCTGATTCACAAATGTTTTTCTTTTTTGTCTATTTCTGTTACTCAGTAAGGGCTTCTTGACAGCTACATATCCTTTCAAATCCATAGTGTTGAGTTGTCTTCCCAGACAGACGGACAGAAACACCTATTTTTTCAGATTTTCTCCTACTTCTCAAAGCCCTGAGTACTGTTTATCTGATGGTGAGAGGTTTGGTGGTCTACCAGGTCTTGCATGGTTGTTAGGAGTCCCATTTTCTCTATATCTTGTATTCATTTTCTGAACTAGTTTTGGAAACACTTGAACTTTCCCCTTTCCTTTTGTAAGTGGATTGTCATTTCTTTTTTTGTATTTGTTCCCCAAAATTCTCTCCAATTTAGTCATATCCAATTCCACCACTAGTTAGGACTCCCCCACTCACCACCACCAACGCTTGAAGGGTGAAGGCTAGCACAGGCTTCCTCCAAGACCTGTGAAGCCAGCCATCGCATCTTTTCGAACTGCTGCTAATGCAACTTGCTTGGAGGAAAGTGCGCCTGCGCTGACTAGCCATCCTACCCATGCAAACAGCAAGGCTATACATCTTTGGCTTTTATTTTTGCAAAATGTGCAAATGATGCATCCTGAGGAAGTGCTAACCCACTATGAAGCCTGATAAAGCCTCTGAACACAAACATAGAGAAGGAAAGTGAAAAAGAGAGAGAGAGAGAGAGAGAGAGTGTATAGGCACCCCTGGTCATGACATGTTTGTTGATTTTCTGAGTGAAAATAAGTAAACAGTCTCTTTGGGGAGCGCACTTTTAATTCACACTTACTAAATTGCATAGAAAGACATAAAATGTGGCATCTTTTATTAATAATAAGTTTATTACAACTTAGCAAATAAATAAAAAGTGTTTCCACAAAAACGTCCTATTTATGTTTGTCCCCTGTGAAATGTGAAATTGAATAAAGGAAGGGATTATTTTTACTCAGAAAGGAAAGGGAATGAAAAATCAGCGAAACATGTCATCAGAGCAGAGTTGTTCATACTCAATTTATGAAAAAATATTCAAAGATATAAAGAAAATGGGACCCCTAACAACAATGCAAGGCCTGTTAGACCACCAAACTGTCATCTGAAAAAAGGTGCTTCCACAGGTTTTTCTGTCCATCCTTCCACTCAGCACTGTGAGTCTGAAAGGCAGCTGTCAAGAAGCCCTTACTGAGAAAAGTCAATAAGAAGAGATCGTATAAAAAACTGTTGATGTTCTCAGAATGATGGACTGACCTCACCATTGTGACACTGTGAGAAGCAGGAAAGGTAACCAACTTCTAAAACGGTTAGCAACAGAGTGAGCGAGCAAAAGAGAGACATAGAGAGGTTGTGACAGAATGATAGAGACTGAAGAGAAATAGAGAGTGCAATAAAGAGAGAGAAAGAGAGAGAATGATAGAGTGAGAGAGACAGAGAGAGAGGAGTGAAACAGAGCAATATTGAAAATGATAGAGAGAGAATGAGAGAGAGAGAGAGCAGCATACATAGAGAGAGAACCACAGAGAGAGAAAGGGAGAGAGAGAGAGTAAGAGAATGAACAAAAGAGATTGTGAGAAAGACTCTTTCTTTCTGCTCCTACCTGCACAGGCTGGTCCTCCCCATGATCTCTCAGCTCCCCTGCGCAGGAAACACTTGCGGTTTGTTGAACACTCTGCATAGCCTTCTGAAACACACTCTCACACACCCGCTGGCACAGACACTAAGACTAGAGTGAGTCACACACACGTTGGTACTATATGGGAGGAGCAGAGTTGCGGACACACCTGTTACTGACCCCTCCTCTCACTCTCTGTGTCCTGAACTCAGTTCCGTTCAACTGCATCATCACAAAAAACTGATCATCAAGAATTTATTTGAGAGTGGAAAAGAACCAGTTTAACAAATTAGAACAATTCTCATTCTCTCAGTCGCATAACAGACACCAGGGGCGTTTCTAGACTACTTGTTGTACTGGAATACACACAGAATTACGAGGGGCACAGCTGTAACCGCTCTGCTTACCAATCAGTTGTAGGGGTATAACTGTGGTATCTGGCAAAAAGCATGTTAAACACTAAATAGGTTAAGTAAACTAGTACTAAAGTAGGTGTTACTCTGCCATGGATGAGAAATTAAGAACAAGCTAACTTTTAATTAATTTTAATTAGTAATAGGCTCCCTTCTCTTTTCCTCCCTGTTGCATTCTCTCATTCTCCTCCCAATTCTGTTCCTCTTATCCCTCCTTCTCAATGCTCTGACTGCTCTCTAACCTCATGAGAAAAGGTTCATTTATTGTTTTTATTGTATACATTTAATTTTATTTTATTTTAATTTAACATGTATACGAAATAATTTGTTGGCAGCAAAAACCAAATACATTTTTTTTGTCTTGCATCATCAGTTCATGCAAACTTGATAACACAATCTTGCAGAATGAGTCATTTACTGACGTGCTGGCTACACAGTGACATGTAGTGAAATGTAGTGCTACTTGGTGCAGAAAGTGAGTGAACATTTTAAATGTATTGTAGTGTTTAATGCTTGGAAAGAAACACACAGCTTATGCAAACGTTATTGTGCTTTATTAAAGGCCATGGTTGGCTCCAGCCATGCCGTACAGAAAGCAAGGCTTTAGGCTAACAGCTAGCTCTAGCATTAGCTCAGGTCTGCACTCTCGCATTTCTGAGCGCTGACTGTTGCATAGCTGACTTTCTTTTTAATATTTATTTTAAATATATATGTTCATTGCTCCATGCAAAATCCTGAAGGAAATTGGCTCTGACTGAAAGTGTTAGCCGCTCAAGCTTTTGGAAAGATCCTGGGGCATTATGAGTGATGAAGTGCCAGTAGCGAATTCACGTGGCATATCCTATAGTTCTGCTCAGCAATCCAGGATAAAATAAAAAGCTTTATGGCTGTCTTATTGATGTTTTACCGCTGTGGTTTTAGAGTGACACAGCAACATTTGACTGGGGCATGTGCCTCAGTAAATTAGTTGTGATGATGCCCCTGCAGAGACCTATTATTTATTTAATTTCCAGTGAAAGTTTGAACACTGTTGATGCCAGCCATCCTGAACCGGGAGCCCAGAAACAAATCTGATTGTGTGATGCAAGAGTCCCACTTGGTACAGAAAGTGAGTGAACATTTTAAATGTATTGTAGTGTTTAATGCTAGGAAAGAAACACACAGTTTATGCAAAAGTTGTTGTGCTGTATTAAAGGCTGTGGTTAGCTCCAGCCACACTGTACAGAAAGCAAGGCTCTAGACTAACAGCTAGCTCTAGCATTAGCTCAGGTCTGCACTCTCTCTGCATTTGCTCTGATTGACAAGTTCTTCCTGATGTACAGGCGCAAACACAGTGAGCAGGCTAACCCTGACCTTCAGAATAAACCTAACGAATAACTATACCAAGGCCACTTTCCAAAAGTACTCACCCTTAAGGACCACAAAGCTCAATATACTATATATGTTGTTTACACAACTGAGATGCAGCGCTGAATACGTGAATTAGTACAACTTTAAACTCAGCTAAGAAGCTGGAGTTGGGTGAACTCTGGTGTCCTCAGATTGAGTTTACTTGTAATTAGACATAGTGTAATAAACTGACATAACTTTAAGTTAAGCTGGCTTTTCATTTTTTTTACTGTGTGAAGTTCATAATGCCTCTAAAACCTCCATCACAGAGAGTCATAACATGAAATGTTATGAATACACTGCTAGATGGCTAATACGTTGTTTACCCAAAAAAGTTTTTTTTTTTTTTTATAATATTAATAATAATACACATATGATGGAGAGGTACATGCAGGACTTTATAGGGCAAAATAGTCCCAGATAAAACTTTTTTCACATTTACCACTATTTTACCTGTCAACATTACATAAAAACAGCCAGACACATGTAGGTTAACTGGTCATTTTGGATAGAAAAGTGTATATTTGTGTTATATATTAGACATTGTGAGTGCTGGTTCCCATCTCTACCACTGTAAAAAAAATCAGAGCTGGTAATCTTCTCTGTAATGCAACACTTCATATCAAACCACTCTGAATGACTGATTTTTTTTAATTCTCAACAACTTAATTATGTAGAAATTCTGAAAAATTGGTGAACATTTTCAATTTTTCTCAGCATTTCTCATTATCTCACAACCATAATAATAAGCCATAATGCAGACATAGAAAGACAATCTAACCACAAAGTAGAACCAACGAAAGATCTGAAAGGTTAAGCCTCTAAATTGCTTCCATTTGAATAAACAAATCATCTGTGCTGGTGCATGAGGAACAAACCCAGTGCTACATCTCTTCAGGTGGGTGGCTGTATTCTGCATACTGCAGCTAGAGATATAAACTGGTCAGGTTGGACACATGCACACTGACTGGATTCATATCTCTTTTACAGCCAAAGAGGTAATAAAAAGTCCAGGCTTCTAGACCTGAACTTTGATCTTGTGTGTCAGTAAAAAACGGACTACGTCCACATGAGAAACACCAGATCATTAGTAGTGTCTTAAAATGGCGTACAGAGTTACCTGTGTGCTGTACAGTTGTTCGGTTGTTGTTGTTGTTGTTTATCAAGAGAAAGGTCTGCAGTCAGTTGGCCAGTTGCTAAACTAAACTAGATGAAATCTTCAGATTTACTGTGTAAATATGTTGGTTGACATTTAGGCCTAATGTCAAAATGCTACAAACCAAATTCAAACCAGCTAGTAAAAACAGAAAGCAATGATTAGTAAATTCGGTTTGCCCTGTTTTAAATTGAAAACAGTGTGACACAATATTGTGGAACTGACTTTGAAGAAGAACAAGGGAGTGCCATGTTTTTGCTCAGTGAAAATGCTCTTTCATTGAACAAAGAAGAAACAGCGAGAATAGTAGGGAAGGTCACCTCTAGCAACATTTTGCATACCATGCCCCTTTAGCTCCTCTTGAAATGCGGAACATGTGGTGGACAGCACAATATGTTATGTTTTACTTCATGAACCTCACTGCTTTTTATGAATACATGCTTATTCCATATTTAATTCTTGCAATACATTCCAAAAAAAGCTAGAGGGGATCATGTTTAGTACTGTGTTACATCACTTTAAACAACACTTCAGCAACACTTCATAATCATTTGAAGACTGAAGACACAAACTGATCCAGTTTTCAAAGCAGATTTTTTTTCTGTTAAACAAGTCTTCAGATGTGCAATAATACAAGTCAAATTGTTTCATTTTCAGTAGAAGACAGGTCTAGACATCAGGAAGGTCAGTCAGGCACCTGCACTCTAATTGAGCAGCCATGCCGTTGTAATATATGTAGGATTTAGCTTGGTATGGTCATGGTAAAATCATGGACATGGACGTCACTGAAAAAAACGTCATCTAGAAGGCAGAATTTGTTGCTCAAAATGTGTTCAGCATTAATGGTGGCTTCATATATATGCAAGTTGCTCAGTAATACCTACCATTCATTGACAGGTGCTGGCTTTTGAACTTTATGCTGGTAATAGTCTGGACAGTCCTTTTTATCTTTGGCCATGGGAAGAAAATGTTCATTATTTCCATAAATTACCTCAAAGATTGACTCATCAGACCACAATACAGGTTTCCAAAGTGCATTGGTCTATTTCAGAGCTCAACCCCAGAGAAGTGGGCAGTGATTCCGAGTGCCATCTAAGGAATAGAAGGTCATGGGCACCTTCAAGCAAATGAAGATGAGGTTATTCTCTGTCCCTTCTTCTTTAAAACATATTCAGAATCACCACCTCAAGTCAACTGAATATGAACCAAACAACCTCCATCCATTTTTATTATTAAATGAAAACTTTCCCACAGGGGATGTTGGAATTTTGGAATTGAAATGAATAAACATCAACAGATAATACTGTCAAGCCATCATGTAAAGGATCAATCATCAATCAATGGATCCTCATTGAACAGCAAGCAGAATTTATTGAAAAAGTTCTTTACTAGTTACCTCAGATAGAGGCACTGCACTTAGTTTCCAAGTCCTTACCCCAAGACTGAGACAAGACCAAGTCAAAATGATGAATAGACCATTGATTTTTGATCTTGAAACCAAGACTGGGCTTAAGTACTGCAACACTCATGGTGACAACTAAGATGACTGCACAGCAGTGTCCCAGCAACTAGAACTTTTGTATTAGTTTGTCTTCTGCTTCATCACGTATGATGCTTACATCTCCCAAATCTGCTCAAACTAACTCTCCCTTTTTTTTTTTAATGGAAATTAGCCTAGACCAGGGGTGCTTAATCCTGGTTCTGCACCACCCAGGATATTTCAGATCCAGCACACATGGCTCTAATGTTTAGATGCCCCTAAAAGGAATTCATGACATGGAACAGGTTGGTTAGATTATGGTTGGAGCTAAACTCCACAGGGTGATGGATCTCCAGGACCAGGATTGAGCCCAACTGGTCTAGACATTGTCACTGTTTGCCCATTTTAAGATGAGCAAAAGAAGTCTTTTGCACTTTTTTGTGGTTGAATGACAGTGTAATCACGTCTGGTGTGCATAGTTGTGAATTGTGTCCTGAATGTGTGTGCAATCGCTCACAGTATCAGCAGTGCATCTAACAATAAAGGCAGCATGGCGCTTCTTTTATACAGTGATAGGAAACACGTTAGCGCATAGAAAGCTTCAATTCCACATGCTGATCCATTTTACTACATGCTGGTCCATTTTCTGGCTACTCTGA